CGGAGTGATTGGAGGCAGGAATACTGAAGAACTTGAAGTGCGTTCTGAAAGCAAGTCAGGTGTAGGCATTTGGCAGTGGGTGCTTTTTAAAAAATATTTTTTTTTTATTGATTTCAGAGAGGAAGGGAGAGGAAGAGAGAGATAGAAACATCAATGATGAGAGGGAATCGTTGATTGGCTGTCTCCTGCACGCCCCACACTGGGGATCGAGCCTGCAACCTGGGCATATGCCCTGGACCGGAATCGAACCCAGGACCCTTGAGTCCACAGACTGATGCTCCGTCCACTGAGCCAAACCAGCTAGGGCAATTGGTGCTTTTTAAACATTCCCCGGGAACTTGACATTGTGCCTGGGTAAGTTTAGCCTTGGACTTGCTGCCAGGCGGTGAGGCCTCCGGTTAGTGTCATGTTGTCACATAAACTTGCTGTCTACTGGGAAGTGGCCCCTGGTGCCCGTGGTGGGCTCACCAGCTCACTAGTTTGGGGCTCTGCTGCCCATGCCAGGATGGGACCCCCAACGAGGGAAGCCAGGAAGCAATTCCCTACCTGAGTCTGACATAACAGGGCACTGCCCAGGGAGTCACTTCAGAGCATGCTCAGTCCTCACGTCCCGCCCCATGGACACGAGGGCACGAGGAGCAGGCCACAGCCTCAGCCTCTGGGACAGACGGACCCCGCGGAGGGAGCGACACATGGCCTAGGCAGGTTCAGTCACCCCTGAGCCTCCACTTGCTGACCTGTAAAATGGGGAGAGTCATGGTACTCAGCATAGAGGGGCCTCGGGGACAGAAGGAGATGAGGCGTGAGACGCACTTAGCTCAGTGTCCGCACATAGTAGGTGCTCAGGAAACAGGAGCTAGCTTGTCCTACAGCCACACAGCAAGGAGATGAAAAAGCTGGGTTTCCGGTGACCCTTGGTGGGTCCAGGGGCACCGCTGGACGCCCGGTCGCCATCGCTGTCGGGCCCGCCGTGGGTTTAACCCCTGGGCCCGGCTCTTGCCTGTTCCCCACCCCCCTGCCGTCCTAGCTCAGGCCCCATCGGGTTTCCTTGCAGAGTAAAAATGCGCCTCACAGCCAGGGCGAGTACGACGTCTACAGCACCTTCCAGAGCCACGAGCCGGAGTTCGACTATCTCAAGAGCCTGGAGATAGAGGAGAAAATCAACAAGATCAAATGGCTCCCTCAGCAGAACGCCGCCCACTCCCTGCTGTCCACCAACGGTGAGGGCGTGCCTGCGTGCGCGTGTGCCTGAGCATGTGTGTGTGCCCAAGCATGTGTGTTTGAACATGTGTGTATGTGTGCATGTGTGTGTCCAAGCATGTGTGTGCAGACATGAGTGTGTGTCTGAGCATGTGTGTGTGCATGTATGTGTGTGTGCCCAGGCATGTGTGTGCAAGGCATGAGTGTGTGTCTGAGCATGTGTGTGTGTGCCTGTGTGCCTGAGTGTGTGTGCAGGCATGAGTGTGTACCTGAGCATGTGTGCGTGCATGCATGTGTGTGTGCCCAAGCACGTGTGTTTGAGCATGTGTGTGTGTGCCTGTGTGCCTGAGTGTGTGCATGCAGGTGTAGGCGTGTGATATCACGGTTTGCATCAAATGCTATTTTCACCGCACTGACAGGGGGAGCGTTTTCCTCGGTCTTTGGATCCTAAAAACCACATCTGATCTGCGTGTAAATTCCACCCGGTGAATGTGCCCCTGTCCCCGCCTTCCCTGTTGGACACGGGCCACCCATGGTTATGCGCAGCGCCATGAACATGGTTGTGATATTCTCCCCTGGGGTGGAGGGCCAGGGAACACGGGGACGCCTGAGGCAAACTTGATCTCCATCTGCCCCTCAGACGCAGGCCACCCTGGGAAGAGCGATGGCGCCCCCTGCCCCCCCCAAGGCCGGCTGCCCGAGGGGAAGGTCATAGCCGGGATCCCCTCTTTCTTGGGGACCTCCGTCTGTTTTCTCTTAGGGCCTTCATCTGATTGGACGAGGCCCACCCAGACTAGGGAGGGTGATCTGCTGTACTCTGTGGGTTAAACGTTACTCTCATCTCAGACACCTTCACAGCCACATTCACACACGTCTGATCAAAGAGCTGGTGCCTGAGGCTTAACCCAGCCGACACATAAATCAGCCCTCACAGCTGCCAAGTTATTCTTTCGATGTTGTTGGCCGATGGCAGAGAAGTGAGGCTCCTGGAGAGTGGGTGCTGAATGGTGGGGGGGGTGCTGCTCGGAAATACAGGGCTTCCCCCCGGGAGGCCTCAGGGAGGAGCTTGGAGACTCGGGGAGCTGCGTCAGGGCCGTCTCTCTGGGGATCGGTGAGAGACTGATCACTCCCCTGAGCGGGCCGTGCCCTTTGACCCAGCGGCGTCACCGTGGGGATCCGTGGTGAGGAGCGAGGGAAGGAAGGCGGGTGTCCCACGCGTGGAGCTGTTCGCTGGGGCCGTTTACCTGGGAGGAAATTGGAACGAACCACCTCTCCCAGCACAGGGTGGCTTCCGAGCGAGCTCTGGGCGGTGCGTCCGTATCTGGTGGACGAGGGCGGATGGATGGCCCATTCTCCGTGTTAATCGTGGGTCTTGTTTCATTTTGTTCTGTTTTTAAAGACAAAACCATCAAATTATGGAAGATTACCGAGCGAGATAAGAGGCCCGAGGGCTATAACCTGAAAGACGAGGAAGGGAAACTCAAGGACCTGTCCACCGTGACGTCACTGCAGGTAAGCGGCCAGCTGGGGAGATGGTGACGTCACTGCAGGTAAGCTGCCGGCTGGGGAGATGGTGACGTCACTGCAGGTAAGCGGCCGTCTGGGGAGACTGCGGGTCCATGGTTCCTTTATTAGCCAACGAGGATCGTAGGGCTCGAGGGCCCTGGTGAGTTGAGCCACAGTCAGTGCAGACCCTGGCTGCGGTCATCTGCCTGCTCCGTGCCTCAGTGTCCCCACCTCCATGCAGAGATGACCTTCTTCTGGAGGCCTCCTGAGGACAAGGCGCCCCACGTCCATAAAGAGCCTTTCAGCTGAGTGTGCAGAGCAAGTCCTGCAACCCCTTGTCACACAAAGAGGGAAACTGGGGCCCAGAGAGGGGCAGGATCTCACCCGAAGCCGCCCAGCTAGTGAGTGGCAGAGCCAGCGGAGAACCCGTGGCTGAGCTGAGTGGACTCCGAGCCCTTCGCCGAGGGGCAGAGCGGGGCCTGGGGCTGCGACTCTTGCAGCTTCTACGAAGTCTCAGCCTCCAAGATTGCCTTTGATTGACAAAGAGCCGGCGGTTAAGCCACGGAGCCATGCTAAAGCCAGCCCAGCCCTCAACATGACTCAAAGGCCGAAGGACTCCTCTCTCTCCCAGCCACGGGACCAGAAGAAAGGGTTCCATGGAGTCACGGGCAGGGGTTCAAATCCTGCCTCTGCCACCTCCTGGCAGTGTGACCAGGTGGGGTCCAGGCTCCACAGCTTCAGTTCTTCATCGGGAACAGGGATGAGCACTGTGGCAGGTGTGTCTTCAAGCACTCTGGCTGGCACAGCTCGTTGAACCCTCACCCAAATCCTGTCACGTGGCATTATCACCCCCATTTCACAGACGCGGGAAGCGAGAGCTGGGATCCAAACCCAGGGCAGGCTGGCCCAGAATAGGCATCCGTCTGCTCTGACATGGCCAGGAGGCCCCTGCCTCACGGGAGAGCTGCAGGACGGTCAGTGGCGTCCCGGGGAGGACTGTGGAGAAGCCGGCCCCTTCCCCCTGCAGCAGGCCGGGAAGCACACGGTGCCGCCTCCTCTGTCCCTGGCTTCCAGACACCGGGAGCACAGTGGGTGCTGCGGACGTGCTTGCTGAAGGAGGTGCTGACCCGGATTCACCCATTCAGCACACACGCTTATTGAGGACCTACTGTGTGCAGGCCCAGCTTGAGGCTTGGGAGGCTGCAGTGAACACAGAGCCCCCGGCAGGATGGGGCCTAAGTCTTGTTGGTGTCCCAGTGCCTGGGACAGGCCTGCCTCAGAGGAGGTGGCCCCAGAGGGCCATGAAGGAGCGGGGACCAGTGTCGGGAAGTGACTGCTCTCTTCAGCTCCAGTTTGCACATCCTAGCAGACTTTTAAAAAATATATTTTTATTGATTTCAGGGAGGAAGGGAGAGGGAAAGAGAGAGAAACATTAAAGAGAGAATCATTGATCAGTTGCCTCCTGCATGCCCCCTACTGGGGATCAAGCCTGCAACCTGGGCATGTGCTCTGACGGAATCGAACTGTGACCTCCTGGTTCATAGATCAGTGCTCAACCACTGAGCCTTGCCAGCTGGGCCGTTCTAGCAGATTTGGAAATGTCACAAGAAATGCCGTCTCCCTCAGTTCGTTCCTCAGCTGCGAGTGTGGGCTGCTCTGAGCTGCCTGGGCTGGGTGGTGTGAGCGCCTCTCCGGGGCTCGCAGACAAACCGCTCCCCGCTCCCTGCACTGCCGCTGGGTGGCTGTGGGCATCCCCCCGCTCCCGCCTCAGTTTCCTCACCGGCAAAATGGAGATGATGCCTCGCTTTTACTGAAACGACCGCCGGCGCACGCACGGAGCATCCCGCGAATTGTCATAAATACGAAGTGGAGATCAGTGCTGTTCCCCAGAAGGAGAAATAAACGTTTAAACACAGTGGCCTCTAAATGACCGGTGAATTGCACAAATAAATTCTGAGAAGGCAGGGAAGCCAATTATCTGGGTTGTCGAGTAACGGGAGTGATGGTGTCCCGCCCCCACCGCCAGCCCCAGGCAAGTCTAGGAGGGTTTCCTCTGGTGGGAAAGATGCAATTATCACCTCTTGATGGCCTGGCGTCTGCGGCAGAGCCATGGCCCACGGGAATCTCAATCTCGTTTATTTCCCTCCCAGCATCGGAGATGTTCTATACATCCCACACATCCCGAGACGGCACTTAACATAAACTGAGGCTGCGGGAGAGAGGGGGAGGCGCGCGGGTCTTTCCTCCCGCCTAGCACTGCCCGGGGACTCGCTGTATTAGCTCTGAGCAGGCACCAGCCTCACCCCCTTTACGGAAAAGGAAGCTGAGGCCTACATGTTACCCAGTGAAGGTAACACTAGTGAGTGGCAGGGCAGGCTGTGAAGCTGCAGGCGGGTCTCAGTCTGCACCTTTGCACCAGGAACCCTCAGGGGCAGTCACCCCAGCTTCCTGGCCCGACTCTCATTTCCTGACCCCGTGACTTAGGCAAGTTGGGTTCATCTTGGCATCCAGTCCTCTCACCGGTGATGTGGGGATGGCAATGCCAGCCCCATTTCCTGGGCGTTGAGCCCAGGCCAGGCCATTGTGTCTGTCTCTGTCCTCGCACCTTTGAAACCTCACAGTTTCCTGGAGTGACACACAGCAGTGTATGCTGAGCCCTGACAGAGATGTGGGCCGTGTGCTGGGTGTGTCCGGGGGGTGTGCCAGCCCTGCCTACCAGGGCAGCTGCACTTCTGGGGGGCTGTTGCCTCCAGATCCTGCAGGAGGAGTTGGGGTTCACTAGCTGTCCCAAGTTGGGGGGAGCGTTCCAGGCGGAGAGCACGAAGGGAAGCAGAGGCGTGCATCTGATACTGTCTCAGGGATCCTCACACGTCCGAGGTGGGAGTTTGTATGAGTGAGGCTAACACTGATGGCTCTAACAGATGACCCCGCATTGCAGGGCAGAGCACACAGAAATGTAATTCTCGCCCTGGCCAGTTTGGCTCAGCGGATAGAGCGTCGGCCTGCGGACTAAAGGGTCCCGGGTTTGATTCTGGTCAAGGGCACATGCCTGGATTGCGGGCTCGATCCCCAGTGTGGGGCATGCAGGAGGCAGCCAATCAATGATACTCTCTCATCATTGATGTTTCTATCGCTCTCTCCCTCTCCCTTCCTCTCTGAAATCAATAAAAAAAATTTTTTTTTAATGTAATTCTCACTCCTAGCAAGGTGCTCCTGCAGGGACACAGCCTCCTGCCATTCCATGTGCCTCCATCCCTGAAGGTTGGGTCTTCACCTTCCATCAGTGGAAGGAGAAAGAGGATAGAAAAGGCACACCTGCCTCTTAACCACCTTGGCCCATAGTGCCAGGCATCGCTGTACTCACAGTCCATTGGTCAGAACCAGTCATGTGGCCACACCCAGATGCAAAGGTAGCTGGGAAACGTAGTCCTTCTCTGGGCAGCCACTTGTCACTTCCTGGTAGAAGGGATGCAAATGTTTGGTGGACAGTCAGCTGACTCTGCCATGGTACCTTCTCATTCCATTTGAGAGATGAGGAAATTGGGGTGCGAAGGGGTTCAGTCACTTATTCAAAGTCACATGGTGGGCTCAGAACCAACCCCAGGAGGCCAAGCGAAGGAGGTGGGCTTTCCCGCAGGGCCGATGGCGATGGGCATTGGCCACATGCGCTGCTTATTTCTGACACGTGCGGGGTGGATGCCCACTGGTGCACGCCCCGCCGTGGCTGCCTGGCCCAGGCGGCCCTGCTCTGACCTGCCCTCCTCCTCGTAGGTGCCCGTGCTGAAGCCCATGGACCTGATGGTGGAGGTGAGCCCACGGAGGGTCTTTGCCAATGGCCACACCTACCACATCAACTCCATCTCCGTCAACAGCGACTGCGAGACGTACATGTCGGCCGACGACCTGCGCATCAACCTCTGGCACCTGGCCATCACCGACAGGAGCTTCAGTATCCTTTCCCGCCGAGGTGGCTTCTGGGTGGGGCTGGCTGGCTTGCTTGTAAGGAGCTGGCTTGGGGGCTTCTGCTTCGTTCAACTTCGGTGAGTCCACAGTGTGTGAATGACGTGCAGACGTGAGCTCATGCTGAGAATTTATGAACACTTTAAAACCACAGCTGTGAGGGTTACATTTGACCCCTCGCCTCCTCCTCGCCAGGGTGGCCATGATCCCCGTCACCCTGGGACCTCACCAGGAACGAAGGAGGAGATAAGGTCCTGGGGTCACCCCTCCCAGAGGAGGGACAGCGGATCCTCCTGAGACCGTCCACCAAAGGCTCCTCTGGACCCTCCCCGCTGGGGTCCCACCCAGGGCTTAGAGTGACAACTGGGGTGTCAAAAGCCGAGCCGGACGGAGTCAGGGGCCCTGCTTGTGGCTCCCTGCGTCTGGACAAGCTAGGGGCAAGAGGATTGAGTCCAGCGCCCACCAGCTGGCGAGGAATGAACTGTCCATACACGAGCATGGGCCTGGGGAAGGGCTGCAGTGGAGAGAGCAGGCTGGTTGCTAAGCTGTCCCTGTTCTGAAGACTGAAAATAATAACAGTAATTACAGCAAGGCTCTTGTGTAGCATTAACGCTTATTAATATTAACTCATTTCACCCCCACAACAACCCCTCGAGGTAGGTACGGCCGCGATCCTCCTTTACACATGAGGAAACTGAGGCACAGGGAGCCCAAGTGAAGGTGCTCAGAGCCCACTCCTAGCTGGTGCCACACCTCCAGCCCCCGAGTCTCATTTCCAACTCTGACACCAGGCTGCTCTGTGAAGGATGGTGCCCAGACGGAGTGAAGGAGGCCCTGCTCCTGCTGCCCCTCCAGAGCAGGCGGACATAAACCGTTGATGCAATAAGCAAGGGGAGCATCCGGCAGGCGAGCAGCGAGCAGGCGGGCCAGAGAGCACATGGGCGCGTTTTTCTACGGCCACGATTCGCCGGGCTGCAGGCGCGGGGTGGGTGGAGAGAGCCAGGGCAGCGGTTTTGCCAAGTGCACAGGCAGACATGGGGCTGCTGGTGAAGGCAAGGAGTGGAAATAATCACTGACCCCAGGACCTGTCAGCCGAGGAGGCGAGGGCTGGTGACAGGAAGGGAGCGTCTGGGGATTGGCGTCCCCGTGGGACCTGGGGGGCTTCCCTGGCTGCAGATCCTGCCTGTGTGTAGCCTGATTTGTGAAACTGAATTGTTAGTTGATCAGATATAGAAGCGCCCTGGCCTTGGGGGTGGAGGAGCGTGCGTGGCATCGCCTGCCGGCTGCAGAGCGGAGCTCCGGCAGCCTTGCTGTAGACCTAGGTGCCAACTCGGCTGATGGAGGAGCGATGGAGTCTCCAGCCCCCGGTGGCCGTGCAGACCTCCCCCGACCGACCGGTTCATCGGGGAATCAGGCTGTGTGTGGCCCCCCGTTCGGCCTGCTGCTGCTCGACCACCAGTGAGGACTCGGGGAGACCTGGCACTGTCCATGGAGCCACCTCCGCTGGCAGGGAGGTGTCAAGTGGGGCGATGGGTCCGATAGCAGCCGAGCGATGAGGAAGGTGTTTCCTTTCCAGTGGGGGGCAGGGTTGGTGGGGGATCCAGAAAGCTGTGACTGGCTGAGCTGGGCACCTGCTCTGAATTTGAGACACTCTTTGAGCACGTACCCGCCGGGGGACCTGGGCCTGGGGCCTCCGTCCCTCTAACTCCGGTTCTGCGGCGTCTCGCCTTGTCCCGAGGCTGCTGTTCAGTCCTCAAGGCCGCTGGGAGTTTTCTGCTGTGTTACCGTCTCCTGTGTCCAAACAGGAACACTTCCCACTTACGCAGAATTAATTTTTAGCAAAGGTTTTCCAGAGAGAGGAACACTTTTCTAATCAGGGAGAAGAGTGGGCACGTTTGGACCATTTGAGGAGAAGAGCTGACTCAGAGGCCTTTCTCTGGCTAATTCCAGAACCGGCTGCTCTGATCGGAGGGCGGGGCCCGGGTTTCCTGAGCCTCTGCCGTGCCCCCCGCCCACGCAGGTGCGTGCCGTAATCTGCCAGCAAGGCTGACCGTTAGGGGTCCCCCAGCTTCCTTCTCCCTCGCCCACAGAATGGAAAGGATGCAGGCCCTTCCATCCTCCCCCGATGGCTCTGGAACCATGTTCTGCTCTCCATCCCATCAGAGGCTCAGCTAGGGCCAGCCAGCCCACCGCAGTGAGAGTGGCTGACCACGTCAGCCCTCTGCCAAAAGCTCTCAGCCGCTTCCCATCAGCTTCTGGACAAAGTCCGAACCACTCAGCAGTGTCCTAGGCGCTTGGTGACTGGCTCTGCCCACCTCCCAGGGTCCTGGGCGCCAGGCTGGCCCACACCTTCAGGCCACTGGGCTTCCCTTCCTGTCATAGGGCCGGGCCAGTGCTCTGCCTTCTGCTGGCCCTTCACTGACCAGCCTTCTCCCTCTCATAGCCGGGCTGGCTCCTGTTTGCCCCCTTTGCTCGGTCACCTGTGCCGTGTCCACTCTGCACCCCTCCCAGGCTGGTCAGAGCCCCTGGGCCCCCCTCCCTGTCACACTGGGCATCACACTGGGCTTTCCTCACCTGTTAATATGCCCCCACCCCCATTTCCAGTGACACCCTGGGGTTAGGAACCCAGTCGGCGCCCTCTCTGTATCCCCACATGTAATGCAGGGCCCGCACATAGTAGGTACTTGTGAATGGTTGTGAATGGAGTGAGGAGGCTCACAGTGTCCACCTGGTTCTGGGATGGAGACTCCCCCCTGTGAGTCTGGGCTCCAGGTGCTTGGGTCCCAGACACTACAGAGGAGCAGCCTGGGTGCTGGGGTCTGGACCCCTGGGCTCGGTTCACTGATTAACGTCCTGGGCCGTCTGTTCACACGAATGTAAACTGGGCCAAATTCCTTAACTTGGGGACGTTTGTAAGGAATAAAGGAGTCAGTCACTAGTTGGGCCCCGGCCGGTGGCTGGCAGCATCTTCCCTCTTCAACAACAGCCCCCTGGGATAGTTATGGCTCATTCTCCGAATTCCTGTGGGTTCTCTGATTGTGTGTTTCACCCCAATGCCGTCTCCACATCTCTTTAAACCACCGCTCGCATCCTTCAGTACCAACATTCTGAGACCGTTGGGCAGCGCTGGGTGATTTTTCTCGAGTGCGATGCGTCTTAAAGGTAACAGGTTGCACAGGCGGCCTCAGCCGAGGAATCTTTGCTTTATGTTTAGCACTGGAGGATTGCAAAGATAGCTCCATTGATTCTCCCCCCGCCTCCCCCCTCCCTGAGCAATTTCTCCTGGTGGAAGCTGGCATTGCACCAGCCCTCAGTCTGGAACAATGCCTAATTCCTGTTTCCTGAGCAGATCCCGAAGTGAGGCTGGGTGGTGGGCCAGCAGTCAGGACAGAGGCTCCAAGGTTCCGGCGCAGCCCGAGGGAACAATGGAGGGGACCCGCCAAGGCCCCTCCGCCTGCCAGGCTCTCTGCTGGCAAAGCACCAAGAGCCCCGGGCCCAACCGCTGCAGTCACCCAGCCTCGCTGTTCCCATCCAGTCAGTGGGCTGTGCCTCTGGGGCTGGGGCTGGGCGGGTGGAGCCGCGAGTACGGGGCCTGATGTGCCGTAGACCCATGACCCACATGACCACAGTCGCCACTCACAGGTGCCTCTATTCATGTTCCCGCAGTGCCACTGTACAGAGGAGGAAACGGGGGAGCGTCTGCTCAGAAATGCCCCAAGTCCCCAAGTCCGAATCCCCAACATCAGTTTTCTGCTTGGAAAACCTGTTGTTAAACCGTGACAGCCCATCACTGCTGCTTTGAGGCCTCCCCAAGGCCAGGCGGGTCAGCCTCCTCCACTCTGAGTGTGCCTGCGCGCTGTCCATGGTGCTGACCCAACTCCCAGCATGCTGCCCAGGGCGCTCCCTCACTCCCTGTGCGCTGTCCATGGTGCTGACCAACTCCCAGCATGCTGCTCAAGGCGCTGGCTCCCTCTGCGCTGTCCACGGTGCTGACCAACTCCCAGCAGCAAGCTGCCCAGGGCGCTGACTCACTCCCTGTGCGCTGTCCATGGTGCTGACCCAACTCCCAGCATGCTGCCCAGGGCGCTCCCTCACTCCCTGCGCGCTGTCCATGGTGCTGACCCAACTCCCAGCAAGCTGCCCAGGGCGCTCCCTCACTCCCTGTGCGCTGTCCATGGTGCTGACCAACTCCCAGCATGCTGCTCAGGGCGCTGGCTCCCTGTGCGCTGTCCACGGTGCTGACCAACTCCCAGCAGCAAGCTGCCCAGGGCGCTGACTCACTCCCTGTGCGCTGTCCACGGTGCTGACTCCTCCGGCAGCCAGTCCTGCAGTCGCCCTCACCACCTCCCACACACCGGCCTTGCTCTGTGCCACTTACTCTGTGCCAGACGGCGTTCTAAGCACCTGGAACATGTTAACCTACTTAATCCTCTCGGCGACACTGTGGAGCAGACATTATGAGCATGACCCCCTTTTTTGTTTTGTTTGTTTTTGTTAATCCTCACCTGAGGATATTTTTCCATTTCAGAGAAAGTGGAAGGGAGGGGGAGAGAGAGAGAGACAGAGAGAAACACTGATGTGAGAGAGATACATTGATTGGTTGCCTCCCACATGTGCCCTGACTGGGTCCGGGGGGTTGAGCCTGCAGCCGAGGTATGTGCTCTTGATAGGAATCAAACCAGGGATCCTTCAGTCTGCAGGCCGATGCTCTATCCACTGAGCCAAATGGGCCAGGGCAACATGCCCCCCCGTTACAGGAGGAAACTAAGCCATAGAAAGGTTAGGTGATTGACCCAGAGTCCCAGCTGGGCAGTGGCAGGGCCTGGGAGTCAGACTCGGGGCCTCTTGTGTAGATGGTCCTTTCAGCTCTGAGAAGTGGGTGCACTGCCCGCGGCCTTTCCTCGCCCCGGCCACGCAGACTGCCCATCAGCCCCCGCGATGGGATAATGTCTCCTGGCTCTTGTTTGGATTCTAAGGGAAAGCGGGCGCTTTCCACGCCCCTACAGGCCACACTGGGACTGTTTGTAACACAGGTGGCCGATGCATGAGCTCTGGCCGCTGTCTGTTTCTAACGCTTCCTCTAATGGT